TGACCTATCCCCTCCCTAACTCCCCACCTACACTCACCTTTACTGGCTCCATCCCCACCTCTTCGACCTGTCTGTTTCCTCTCCACCTATCTTCTCCTCTATCCATCTTCTATCCGCCTCCCCCTCTCTCCCTATTTATTTCAGAACCCCCTTCCCCTCCCCCATTTCTGATGAAGGGTCTAGGCCCGAAACGTCAGCCTTTTTGCTCCTACGATGCTGCTTGGCCTGCTGTGTTCATCCAGCTCTGCACCTTGTTGTCTCGGATTCTCCAGCATTTGCAGTTCCTACTATCTCTGATTCATCTTTTGACAATGTTCTGTTGAACTTTTAAATATTTAAGCACTCTTTTTATTAGATCTATTTCTGCTGATGGAACAGTTTTAATCCACTGGTCTGACAGTCCCTAAAATGGAAGAGCAAATGAATCCAGGACATAGCAGCAGGAGTAGGCCTTTTGACTCTACAAGCCTGCTCTGCCAACCAGCATGATCATGTCTGATCTGTCTCAAATCCAGTTTCCTGTCTGTACGCATAACCCTGGAGTCACTTGTCTATCAAAAAGTCAACCAAAAGTAATTCAAAACATCAGTGCTGAATAGATCCTATAACTGAGCCATCACTACTTTCTGTTGAAGAAAATTCCACAGATTAATGATCCTGCTTCTTACTTGGTATCCATCCATTGAGTTCCCTATATCAGCTAGATGGATCAACAGGGTAAGGAGTTAACAAAGACTTAAAGGACCAAATGGCAAACTTTCATGTTGTATTTTCCTGCAATTCTATAGGAGGAACCAAAACAGAATTTTGTTTTTTCTGGCAATCATGTTGCTCACATTTTTCACCCAACTAAAAGGTTGTGATGGTGAGCCACCATCTTGAATTATTTTGTGGCATATTCCTTATGGATTGAAACTGGACAAGGCCAGGTGATACTGCCCTTGACTGTCTAGTATCCAGTTCAGAAAACAGGGCCAACTCAGAGGGCAACAGCTTAAACTTCAGCCTGAGAATTGCGCATGGAAGGAGAGCGGGATTGTAAAAAAGGGAGAATTTATTTTGTGGCAGTCTTGCTAAAATGTAATCATACATTTATAATAAAATGTTCCATAAATTAATAACATTAAACAAAAATAAACAGTCCATTCAATGACAAATGCCAGTACCATTTTCTGAAGGCTAACAAGGTCACAGCCACTGTCCTCCCTGAATGACAGTACCTCAGTGAGGCTGCACTCTCTCACACTGGTTTGAGTAGCTGGAAATCATGTGCAGGATAGACCTCAATATTTACCGCCTTCAGGAACAGCCAAGAGTTTTTCTGCAACCTTCCCAACTCCTTGGCAAAGCCCCCGGCTGGCTGAGGGAGTATAGTTCCAGGCAGGAAATGCCCATGACCTCCCACTTAACCCGCAGGCAGACTGAGGCTGCTGTGACACTCTCAGGAAGCAAGAAGTGGCTTTTAGTAGGTTCAAACCAGACCAGTAACTGGTTAGGGAGTTCCCAGTGCAAAACACCCCTTTTCACAGCAGTGACTAAGTATTTAGACAAAATGTGATTCTGTGAAAGCCTCAACACTTTACGTAATCCCTCAGTTTCTATTTTCCAATCAGAAATGAATGTGCATTTAATATAGATTAAATTGAAAAAAGAAACATGCTTTTTGTTGTGTGTCTAAAGGTCTCTGATGAGCTGTGCATTGACCCAGTGGAGAACAATGTCTAAAATTCATGGTTAATGCCTCATTTACTTTCATCCTAAAGTGCATTTTGTAAACCACAACATCTACCAAGCAGCCAATTCATAAATATTACCTGTTTATGGGCCAATTACTCAGTGGCCCTGTAACCCTCTGCAAAATTAAAACCGATGTTGAGATCATGTCGAAGATAGGATTGTGTGCTGAGTGTGTCCTGAAGAAATCAGAGATGGGGGAAATAGGATTCACTTCCATTCATATCTTTATCACTCTCACACACACACCCTCAGGTCTAGAAGAACAGCAGGAACAGAATTTTATAACATAAATCAATCATCTAAGACACTGAGGCATTTCAGCTTGCAGAAGGTCTAAACCTAGAACCCAAACTCCTTTCCTTTCTAATTCTTTACTAAATGACGCATGTCGGCTTGGTCTGTTGCATTTTTCAGGATCTAACAGACTGAGGAGCAGGCAGAAGCAACTGGCTGCTGCTTCACACATACACACAGAAAGACATAGACAGATAGACATATACACACACACGTACTCACAGAGAGACATAGACAGATAGACATATACACACACGTACACACAGAGAGACATATACAGACAGACATCTACACACATACGTACACACAGAGAGACATATACAGACAGACATATACACACAGAGAGACATAGACAGACATGTACACATGCACATACACAGAGATATACACAGACAGACATATACACACTCATACACACAGAGAGACATACACAGGCATATACATACATAGACACAAAGAGAGACATACACAGACAGATATATACACACACATACACACAGAAATAGACAGATATACATATACATACAGGGACACAGATACACACAGACATATACACAGAGACATATTCAGACAGACGCAAAGTGACACACACAGACACACGCAGACACACAAACGTTCAGATTCTCACACAGACACAATCAGAAATGCATTCACACTGAAACTTACAGACACACACACTCAGATACACACTCAGGCACACACACACAGACGCACGCTGACATTCAAACCAAGATCCACCGCCAATTCCTGCAAAAAGATGAATCATTTGCAGCAGAGAGCGGCGGATTCAGTGCTCAAACCGCAGGCTTACTGGTCAACTTTCAAACTGGAGAACGAGCCAGTGTTTCTTCCCCGAAACTATTGACTGCGGTAGCACCAAACACATCAGGACACTTTGGTGATGCATCCCAAATACTCATCATACATACATCCCGGATCCCATCTCTAAACAACCTGACTAAAGAAGACGTTTACAGAATAATAAAACCGGCTGACCTATCTGTGCAAAGTTTCTCTGTAACTGAAAAGATCAGTCTTTATTTGCAGAAACGGTATCATTCATTTCCAAATCACGGGCAGCAGAATGGGGTAACAGTCACAGAGAGTAAGTCCTCCGCTGCTCGGTAAACTCAGTTAAAACCCGGTTTGTCACTTACTGCATTGGCTGCTGGGTGCACTCCGCAGTGACCGCCTCTCCCAGCCCCACATGCCGAGGCCGTTCACTCATTCAGCACCTGCTAGCTCACTGCTGCTGCTGCCGCCTGCGGCTCCACTCTGAGCTCTCCATAGATCCTGGCGCTGGGAAACACTGGAACAAGCGGAGGAAAGGATAGTCTTCCGGTCAGACAATGTCCTTGTCAACAGTTTCTGCAATTAAAAAAAAGACAGAAAGGAATGGTGTTTGAACAGCATGGAGATCAGAGAGTTAACATGATAGCTTTCTCACCATCTGTAAACTGTCCACAGTCAGAGAGGCCGCTGGTGTTAGAAGCTTGGAGAGATGTGCAATTTCTGGATGGCTACAGGGAGAACGCATTGGCAACTGGCCAAGCCATCAGTGTCGACTTTTCCGGGAGCCCCGAGTGACTGGTGTCAGTTTGGAAAGCTCCGGGGATCCACTGATCGGCTGGCTCCACCTGCGATTGGTCACAAAGATACGCTGCTCTTTCTCCCTGACCATTCACCAGGGACCGAGAGAGCCTGAGGTGGGGTTTGTTAGCTCCACGGTGGGAAAGTGGGCGCAGCTTACATTTGTCATAGAAGCTTGCTTTATCCGAATAGAGTTAATGCACGTTGTCAGTAACTGTGAACACAGCTCATACAGCCCAGTGTCCCCATAACACAGCCCATGCCACCCAGTGTCCCCATAACACAGCCCATACTGCCCAGTGTCCCCATAACACAGATCATACTGTCCAGTGTCCCCATAACACAGATCATACTGTCCAGTGTCCCCATAGCACAGAGCTTACTGCCCAGTATCCCCATTACACAGACCATACTGTCCAGTGTCCCAATAATGCAGACCATACAGCCCAGTGTCCCCATTCCATATACCATACTGTTCAGTATCCAAATAACGCAGATCATACTGCCCAGTGTCCCCATAACACAAAGCTTACTGTCCAGTGTCCCCATAACACAGACCATACTGCCCAGTATCCCCATTACACAGACCATACTGTCCAGTGTCCCAATAACACAGACCATACAGCCCAGTGTTCCCATTACATAGACCATACTGTTCAGTATCCCAATAACACAGATCATACTGCCCAGTATCCCCATTACACAGATCACACTGCCCAGTGTCCCAATAATGCAGATCATACTGCCCAGTGTCTCCATTACACAGAGCATACTGACCACTGTCCCCATTACATGGAGCAGACTGTCCAGTATCCCCATAACACAGACCACACTGCCCAGTATCTCTGTTCTCCCAACAGTCCAGGGAATGGAATAATGTTCCTTTGCAACATACAACATTCCCTGACAGCAGTGTGGTGGGAACAGTGAGTGACAATGCTGCTCCCAGTGTTAAATTAACTCTCCATTTACTGCGCCCAACTACTAGCCCTTCTCCTGGTAAAATTGGCCAGTTTCATGTGGGGGCTGGCGTTATTAGGAAGGCGGAGTAGTGCCCATTCAGCCCAGCTAAGTCTCATCTTTCATCACCAACACTCATGACAGTAACACCATTCTCTTACTCACCCTCACTGATTCCCCAATTCACTCACCCTCACTGAATCTCCAATTCACTCACCCTCACTCTCTCAAATTCAGTCATCCTCAATCATTCTCTAATTCATTCACAGGGTCATGGATTCATACAGCAAGGAAACAGACCCTTTGGTCCAACTTGTCCATGCTGACCAGGCATCCCAATCTGTTCTAGTGCCATTCACTCACTCTCACGCATTCTCCAACTCATTACCCTCATTGATTTTCGAACAATGGACAATGGAAGATCCTCTGTATTCAGTGATACACACACAGACCTGTTACTTACAAAAGACACTGTAACAAGAATGTCCAAGATGTCTTTCAGCCAATATCCAGGTTAGACTGTATGTGGAGTAGACACAGCCTACTTTTTTTGTCTCTTTTATTGGTGGATAATACAGTGACCTTAGAAATTGCTCTGATCAGCTGAAAGAACCAGTCCTCATTACACAGGGAGACTTGACGAGTTTGAGTTATGGAAACTATGGCAGTGTACACAGAGGCCACTTAATCAAACAGATTAGACAGTGTCCTGCTGATTGTGTTTCAGCCTAACAGATTCAGGACAACTGAAGACATGTGTTTAATCACTGCAAAAATGGGAATAGAATAGATCTGATGTTAAGCACCGCCCGTAGTTTGATAGGATAGATTTGAGTGATTATTTTACCCTGGCTAGGGAATTCAGAACACAGAGTCAAGAGGCTCAGAATAAACAGTCAGCCTTTTTGGATTGAGAAGAGATGAAATTTATTTTTGGAATTCTTTACTTCCCAGGGCTGTGGATGATCAGCAGTTGATTAAATTTAAGACAGAAATATTGGACTGAATTTTCCCAGAAATCTGTTAAGTGTCAATTTTTGCAAGTTTCGGGGAGGGTTTGTCTCTGTGATCTGTAGCAAAGTTTCTCTCACTGTTCTCCCAATCTCACCTCATTAGTTCTGCACCATACTCTCTGGATCTTCTCTCTTCCGATCTTCCCTCTCGCCAGAGGCAGAACCATCACCAATGATGGAACCTCCTGGAATTCCCAGTGCTGGAAAAGTTTTTAAAAGCCAGTCATGCAACAGGTTAAGTGTTGCCAGCCAGGAGTACGCCTTCGTGCATATACTGGGAGGGAAACCAAAAAGAAATGTTTCTCAGGTAATTAGCTGGCACGCTAACACTTCATTACAAATACAACTGCACATTCATAAATGTGATGCTGTTTAGGGATCAAGCTTAGAGCTTCGTCCATCTTATAACCTGTATAAGGAAGAGCCATTCTTTCTCCCATGCCCACTGTAGCCATGACATTGTTCAATATGGGACTATCATGTATTGAAAGTCTTCAGACTATTGTAAATTTTCACTGTTATTTAGCAACAGCAAAAGCAAAGACAAACAAACAAAATCTCTATTTACTTCTGGGAAGAGACTGTGACTGCTTACTGTTTGAGCAGCAACAAATTTAAATCCAGAGTGATTGCTGCACACGCTCATAGATATTGTCAATGAAGTCCTGCCTGGTTCATTGTTCCTTGCATTGCATCGCTCAATCATGTTGAAGGTGATGTTCCTCCACTTGACCTCTTCATCTTCCTTCTCGGAGACTGCTGCTGCTCACCCAGCTCTTCAGAGCTCATCCCATCCTTCTCTTTCTCTGCTCCAGTTGTGCTAGGAATATGCAGAACACTCCCTTTGAACTGTACTGCAAAATGCCTCTTCCCCAGACCGATTCAAGCATAGAAACCTCACTCTCAGCAGGCCGATCATCTACTGCATGATGGTCCCGGTGGAACAATGGACTGTATTTTATCTCTGTTGGTTTCAGTCAGGGAGTTGCGAAAGAAAGTCATCAGCCAATGGTTGCAGAGGGTAGCCTTTGGCTCCCGGTAACCATCCTTGTAAGGCATCCAGCCCTTCAAAAGAAGCAGGAACATGAGAGTGCTCAAGGCGATAGCCATCATGGCAGCTTTCAAGGTACCTGGCACAGACTTATAAGATATGATATCGACAGTCACTGATGACTTGTACTTTGACGGGGTGAAAACCTTTTCAGTTCATTAAACCATATGTTATGATATGGTGTTCTCATTGCAAAGTGTGTACAAGTTTATGCCACCTGGGGAACCAGTTATGTTGGCAAAGTCACTGCCCGGGTTGCAGCACCGATCTCATCACAGGGAAATGAAATGAAACAACATGATCTGGTGCAAATTGGATCAATAACAGCCCTGATAATTTTGTGGGTTGAAGGTTGTGAGATCCCACATTGTTCCCCAGTGGATCCTTGGAAGCAGCCAGTTGTATAAAGGTTTAGTGTGCTGTACTCTTGACAGCCACCCTGATAGGATGGCCAACCCCCACTTCAAATTACAAGTGCCAGTCCAGCAGGTGGCATAGTCTGTGAAAGTGTCCCAGGGCACCCTCAGTCTGTGGTGAGACTGTGCCTAAATCGCCTGGAGGAAATGGCATTGCAGACATTACACGCTAGGCCTCCTGTACCTCCTCCACATCCTGAGGGGACATTCAGCTGCAACCTCTCCAAGCGAAGGCTGTATGGAATCTGCTGGAAGTTGCTGTTGGTCCCAGCCTTGCTGGCATATCTGTTCTTGTCCATTTTTCAGCACCTTTGTTACATTGCAGCAACAGCGACAGTGACCGTTGCTGTGGCTGGATGCTGTGATCTAAGCCTGTGGAATTTGCTACCACAGAAATCTCAAAATATTGTAGGAAGGAATTGGATATAGCAATTCTGGCTGAAGATATCAAAGGACATAGGGAGGCACTGCAGCTCAGTGGTTAGCATTGCTGCCCCAGTGCCAGGGTCTCGAGTTTGATTCCAATCTCAGGCGATTGGCTGTGTGGAGTTTGCACATTCTCCCTGTGCATGCGTGGGTTTCCTATCACAGTCCAAAGATGTGCATTTTAAGTGGATTGACCATGTTAAATTGTTCATAGGGATGTGCAGACTAGGTGGGTTAGCCATGGGAAATGCAGGGTTGCAGGGATAGGATTGGAGTCTCTGTCAGGGTGAGATAGTCTCCAGGTCAGTGCAGACTCAATGGGCCAAATGACTCCTTTCTGCACTTCAATGATTCTATGATTCAGACATTGATTAAGCCACTGTTAGAATACTGTGTGCAATTCTGGCCTCCCTGCTATAGGAAGGATATTGTGAAATTTGAAAGGGTTCAGAAAAGATTTACAAGGATGTTGCCAGAGTTGGAGGGTTTGAGCTATGAGGAGAGGCTGAATAGGCTGGGGCTATTTTCCCTGGAACATTAGAGGCTGAGTGAGCGACCTTATAGAAGTTTATAAAATCATGAGGGGCATAGATAGGGTAAATAGACATTGGATAAACATATGGATGATAATGGAATAGTTTAGGTTAGATGGGCTTCAGATAGGTTTCGCAGGTCGGCGCAACATCGAGGGCCGAAGGGCCTGTACTGCGCTGTAATGTTCTATGTTCTATGAGTGGGAGAGTCCAAAACTAGAGGGGCATAGTTTTAAGGTGAGAGGGGAAAGATTTAAAAGGAACCTAATGGGCAACTTTTTCATTCAGAGGGTGTTGCGTGTATGGAATGAGCTGCCAGAGGAAGTGGTGGAGGCTGGTACAATTACAACAGTTAAAAGACATCTGGATGAGTATATGAATAGGAAGGGTTTAGACGGATATGGGCCAAATGCTGGCAAATGGGACTAGATTTACTTGGGATATTTGGTCGGCATGGAAGAGTTGGACTGAAGGGCCTGTTTCCATGCTGTACATCTCCACGACTCTATCGCTCTACGACATGAGGGAAAAGCAGGAATAGATTTTACTGAGTTGGATGATCAGAAATAATCATATTGGTTGGTGGAGCAGGCTTGTAAGGCTGAATGGCCTATTCC